TCTCTCTCTCTCTCTCTCTCTCTCTCTCTCTCTCTCTCTCTCTCTCTCTCTCTCTCTCTCTTTACCTACTTATCTATCTATCTATATCTATCTGTCTATCTATTTGATCTATCTATCTATCTTTCTTTATTTCTCTTCCTCTCCTTCTTTCTCTATCGCGTTTCCCTTCATCTTCTACGGCTATGCCGCGGCATCGCGCAAATTATCAAATTTCTCTCGAGTCCGCTATCCTTATCACCCAGCTCTCGTAAACAGCTAGCTCTCCTTGAAACGGCATGCTCTTCTAAACTCCGCCAAACGCGCGTTCTGATATCTTGAATTTCGTTTTATAAAAGAATCGTACACGTCGGATTGCAGGGAGATGCCTCAGGCAGTGACTCATATCCGCGTACGCGCGCGCACGCCACGCGCACATCACGAATCGTGGCCCCGCGCGCACGAGTTGTTTCATTTAGTTTTAGTAATCCCGAGATCGGTGCCAAGCGAGATCGTACTACCAGCGGCGATACCGTCGTCGTCGTTGGCGCAACGCTCGAACGACCTGCACTGCGAGCCAAAGTTCTTCTGTAGATAGACGGACTGGCGGCGCGAGCGAGGAGAAGTCGTTGTAGAAAATGTCTAACTCTGTGAGACGCAAAGAAAAGGAAAAGAAAAGAAAAAAAGAACAAACAGCATACTACGCTTCTAATTTTAACCTAGATTTAATGAGACTTATAGTCATAGTTACTCATTTCTTACGAAGGTAGCGTTGGATATTTTTTAGCGTAAGAGCGCGCGCGACTCGGTGCCCGAGCGAGGTCTAACGCCACTTTAGTTCGATACTCGACTCGATACTCACCGAACTATCAAAAGGAGAAATTGTCGCGAGAACGATCGCCCCCCTGATCCTGATTTCAATCTAGGATAGGAACAAATTACAAATGCAACCCAATTTTTCGAGACCCGATTTAGCTGTTTTTCTTTTTATCTACGGACCGAAGTCGGACTTATTTGCTTTGTGCCGATGTCAAGCCAACGGTAAGTCGGCCTTCGGTCGATCATTCACCTGTTGTGTGTACACGACGTTCTTCGCATACGTGTTTCGAATCGTTTTTGTAGTATTCGAACGAATGAAATCTCTTACTGTACGACGGCAGGTTGGTTGTATAGTTAATCGTTTTGTAGTTGATAACAGCGAAACTTAAACATAAGAGTGCACGCCTTTAAAAGAGAAACCAGTTTTCGTTGATTAGAAAAGAAAAAGGAACGAAATTACGAGATGCATTATAATATGGTGATGATTACTGTTGCGTAGATGATAAACATTCATTTTCGTATTATTTTTCTTTTTTTATATTATATAATTTTTCTATTTAAAACATATATGTTGTTACTAAAGTCTAAGAATATAGAGCGTTGATGCGCTCTGTGATATATGATTGATTATGTATACGATATATACATTTATATATGTACATATATATACACATACACACACACTCATAAACATTGATCTTATTTACAATCTGAAGCGCGTTCATTTAATGTAGCTAGTATTTATTAGGCGTTATAAATTACATTGTGTCACTTATAAATTCAAATTGTTAATATGTACGGAATACAATTGTTTATTTTATTTGGTGAATATGCACCATCGCGCGCGTTTATAATTTCAAGGCGTGGACTTAAATAGGTTGTTTGTGCGTGAAGCTGCAATCTGATGTGTCAAGTATTCTTTCATCAGGCGCAATGCACTCTTGCGTTAGTTCCCGCAACTGTTTTAGAAATTTTGCAATTAACCACTTAATGTCAAAATAGTTTCCCTTAATTGTAGCAAACATGTTGCTCCTCATACTGACTGAATCGACCGATGTATATAACTTTATTACACACGTTTTTTTGTCAAAATTACACCATTTTTATATAATTTATTATGTAAACATGTATATTTGGACTATAAATGAAAATAAAAATTGCAAAAAATATAATTAAAATTCTAATGGACTTGGAATTCTTGACCCTCGAATCATTTTCTGAAACAGTTTTGGGGAAGATTCGGTATTTAATTACTTGGATATCTATTTTACTGCAATTATATTATCATGCAAAAAATAAATACACTCGCTGTTGTTAACTAGTGCAACGGTGATTGCCCCGATAGCTTAGAGAATTGGTTTTCTTCTTCTTCTTTTTTTTTTTTCTTTTTTTCTATTTAGCTTTGTTGGAAGAATATAACAGAAATCATCCCCAATACTTCGAAGTAAATACATTAAGTAACTTTTTATAGCGCTGGAATAATTGAGCGAGATTAAGGTAAGTTAGAACGAATGGGCAAGTACCCGAAATAAATTCTTCAGATTTCTCATTGCAAATTGTCACGTATATTAGTCCTATTTAATCCATTAGATAGGTTTTTTCAATTCGCTCGGTGCGTGATAACCCACTGCAAATTTATTGCGACGGTTAATTGGAAATACTATTAAGAAAGCTGTTAATACGTTAATTTTTATAAGCACGTGATGTTGTCCATTACTGAGCTTATGATCAAACCATGAAGTAAAAATTAGAATATTTTCTTATAACGCTTCTCCTCGCGCGCGAACTTATTTGTAAGATCATGTCTCAAAATCTAAAAAAGATATGCGTGTATATTATGTAACAAAGGTTACTATTCGTCATATATTGAATATGCTAAAGATATCGAAAAATCTTGGTGCAATCGTAGGATACATCGAGTCTGGCTATAGCGATATGTTATTTCTACTTTATCGCAGGAAACAATCCTCGTGTCCCTGTTTGACCTTGTTTCAAACTATCGTTACCATTTCGAGACACAGTAAAACCGAATGTTTTATGCATGTACTGCAGTTGTTCACTTAAGAACGCGAGCCGCGGGACGAGAATCACAACATATCGCAGTGGCCGGAATATCTTTCGTTGTAGACGAGTGGAAGATCACCAAGCACTGTGTTCGGGATTTGTTCCAGCTAGGAAGCCGACCATAGCGACTCAGATACATAGCGATCGGGACCGCGAACGCGACGGCAGAGAACGACAAAGTGGTAGCGGGATCGGCGGTGGCGGCGGTGGAAACAACATCAGCAACATCAGTAACATCAGTAACATCAATAACATCAACAACATCAACAACATCAGTGCTGGTAACAGTACTAGCATCATCGGCAACACCAGCAGCAGCAGCAGCAGCAGCAATATCATCACCAATCATCACCAGTCTCGGAAAGAGGAGCAGCTGTCCGCGCCGATTCCACCGCCGCCAACGTCTTCCGATTTAACGGCACCGGCCAGCATCTACCATTCTCGCCTGTCAAGTTTCCCAGCTCCAGTGGCACCCATCGGACCCTCTCTGGGCTCAACCTCTATATGCTCCGACAACTCTGTACCCCTTGCACCCTCTCTAGGTTCTACCTTGCCTCCTTTGAACCTCGGACCACCGACGGCCATAAGCTCTGCACGGATCGGTCCTCCGCCAATACCTTCCATACCCTCGATGCCCTCCATGTCCTCGATACCCTCAATACCTTCAATACCCACGATACCTACGATACCTACGATACCCACGATACCCTCCATTTCATCTTTAACACCGAGTGTAATAGGACCTCCACCGCCACCGCCGCTGTCCTTAGGCATGTCTCTTCCGCCCATCATTTCCATTCCCTCGTTCCATATACCTTCCGTGTCGTCGAGTACTCTTCATTCTAGTCAGCATTCAATGAGCAGCGCGACTACTACCACGGCCACCTCTTCCATTTACCACCAGCAGCAACAGCACCAATCCCTGCCGCAACAGCAGCAGCAGCAGCAACAACAACAGCAGCAGCAGCAGCAGCAACAACAACAGCAACAACATCAACAACATCAACAGCAGCAGCATCAACAACGAATGAGCAGTACGAACATCACGACGACTACGACTTGTTTGTCTAACGTGATGACGACGCACACATTGACGCCGCCGAACGGTTCTTTATCATTGTTGAATGCGATGCATCATATGACTCTAAAATCTCCGCCTTTGTCGCATGGCTTTTCCATCTCCAAAAACAAAGAAACGACAGTCACGGCGATGGGAATGTTGACCACGACGACGACGTCTATGACGACTACGACGAGCACAACGACCTCGTCGCAACCGGCTTTCGTCAGGCCTTTCGAGGACTCGTTCCGCTCCTCGACAAAGACGCAGCCAAGGCCGATAACAAACAGTCATAGTCACAGTATAGCCAATCAGATCAGTCATCACGTATCGGAGTCGCCATTGAAGCCTTCGTCTATAACGCCGGCCGTCACTCAAGCTGTAGACAGTCAGATGGTGCCAGAGAACTCGACGTTGGACAATAGCCACGTGAATTCAATGAGCAGTCAAAAACCGACGATTGTCCATCCGATCCCGTGCATTCCGCAACCGTATCATCCGCACATACCCATCTCACATGTGCCAAGTCTCTACAAACCGCCTCACTTTTCATCGTTAACGTCGTCATTGACGTCATTGTCGTCATCGTTGTTGTCGCCACATCATTACCAACAACAGCAGCAACAACAACAACTGCTGCAGCAGCAGCAGCAGTTGCAACAACAACAACAGCAACTGCAGCAACAGCAACAACAATTGCTGCAGCAGCAACAATTGCAGCAGCAACAATCCAAACTCAACATACCGACGTTAATTACCAGCTGTAGTAGCGTCAGCACAAGCGTCGTGACTACTTCGAATGGCGTGAAGCAGCAGAATAACGTGCATTACATCAGCGAATCTTGTCCGACGACGACTACGACTACGACGACAGTAGCTACCTCACGAAACGATAGCGCAACTAACTGCGTTTCCAGCGATAAAGCGATAAGCAACAATACAACAGTTACCAGTAGCAGTGGCGGCAAAGTTGCGAACGATAAGAGTAATTCGGATATCGCGACGAAGGATGGCAACGAGAAAAACGCGAGCGAGACTAAGCGACAGTCACCAAATTCACTTCAGGAGGAGGTCTTGTCTTGCGAGCAAGAAAATGACCCGTTTCCTCCACCTTATGACCCACTACCGGATTTTAGCGTTGGTGATAAGGAAAATAAGATCACCGAGATCGAATATAACACGCAATGCGATCAGAATAACGTCTTGTCCACATTACCGTTTCAATCGCACTTTCAGTTCAGCATATGTGACATTGCGCACAATTCCATGGACACAACAAGTCTTATGCAGAGCATCAAGTCCCAGGAAGTACTGCGTACTTGTCAGAACGTCTCCAATGTGCTCCTGCAGATCCCGAAGTATCAGGAGAAGCTCTTGAATTTCTCGAGCAGTAACAACGAGCTAAAGACGACCGCGTTTTGCATTACCGACAAGTGCAATAATTTGACTGAGATTTCCGTGAGGTGCGAACCAGCGGTGCTGAACGTCCCTGACATCAGCAGGGCTCTGGTGAAGGATCTTAACACCAATGAGATAACCTTTCTGGTGCCTGAGAAGCCGAAGGAACTGACGTCGTCCCTCGATTTAGCCGAGAAGAAACGCAAGCGGAAACGAGAGAAAAATACAGGCATCGTTACATGTAGCTCAGACTCAGAGGACGAGGAGGACGTCAAAGACATGGATCTTTGGATCACGAAAGGTCCGCCGGCTAAGCTACAGTATTCCGACGAGAAATTGTCCTTTCTGGCCATGTTCGGCTTGACCACGCTGAATATAAAGAATGGTAAGAAGATAACACGCGCTACTGTTATATTCAACTTTTTTGCAATCCGTCTAATTTTACCTGACATGATTTTTGCAGAGATAGAGTTGTACAAGGTCGAGAAGAGATTCAAATTGAATCCTGATCCGCCAGAACTACCTCCGGCAAAAGTAGAGCCTGTAGTAGAATCCATTTTACCGATTCCGCACGAGCATCCGGACGTTTTACTTCACACGCCAGATTTCGAGCCGAAAGTTGGCTTTCTCAGGACTATAGGCCTCGATATTATGCCTCCCAATAAAAGAGACGGTAAGTATATTTCAGATTTCTTTACTAGAATAAAATGTCTGAGTTTCTTATGTCTATGTAAAGATCTTCTAACGATTAACGTGATTACAGAGGCAGAAGAGACATGGCAGTACGTTCTACAAGATCGCAAGAAACGAAAATGCGCAAACTCCGTTACTGCCTACTGTGAAAAAATCGCCAAAGTTTACTCTAAGAATCCTCCAGCTTTACCAAAACCATCTCAAAAGATGCGACTTCTGGACAGAGTTAAAAAGAACCACATCCCGGAACGTCCACCACCGCTACCACCTTTAGTTCCAAGTATTGTTTCGATGTGTTATCCTACTTTACCTATACCTGGTGAGAATGGTGTGAAGCAACACTGTAAAACCATAGACATCAGCGAGAGCACCGAAGAAGTGAGCGAGAAGAAAGAAAAGTCGAAGTGGACTGGAATCGAGGATATTATGTACGCTTATAAAGAGTATTTGAAAGGTGCGTGTCGAGAATCCTCTGTTATACAATATTAGGGGTACCCATAAGTAAACAAGCGTTTACACAAGACTCTTATCGGTTTATATATGAGCTGTATAGTATATAAACAGTATTTTCTTAGTATGTTATTTGGATAAGGTATTCGACTTATATTATATTATTGATTAAAAAAAAATAAAAGTTCTATAGACTTTTACATTGTGTTTCATTTTGAATCTACTTCATTGCTTATGAGTACCCTTGATACATGTATATATTATACGTAATCGCATTACGATACCCATACGAAATAACGAAACGTCGCGTAATTTCCTGCTCTTTCTAGAGAAGGCACTGGAGAAGAGAATTCTGACAAGCGAAACATCAAAACTGGTAACGCAGTCGAACATCTTGCGTTCCGAAACCATTCAGTTAGAACGGAAGATTTACGAGCTCCTGTCCGCTAGAACAGCCCTTGATTCCGAGAGGCGAAAGCTCAGTGACAAAATCGAACGGATCAAAGCACTCATTAGGAACCTTAGATAGCGTCGCGTAACGCACAACACGGAAACTCATTCATCTGTGATATTATCAGCGGGTTAAGGGCCGTTAGCGCGTAAAGTACATACCGCTAAACGTAACACTTAGATAAGTAACGGTTAAGGACAATGACTTTCAGTGACCAAATGTACAGCGATCCTTCGTGTGTATTGTTTTTTGCGGATTTTATTATACATAGTACAATACCCTCTCGCCAACGTTGACGACGGATCGTGTCGGAAAAAGTGCAAGTTCTCGATTCCTGGCTGGCAGGTCCACGAGGCTGCGATCGCGTCCGCGGCTGAACGTTACCGCACTAATTAATAGATATTGTTTGGGCGCACACCTCGCCGAGAGGATCGACGAGCGCGCTCACCGATTTTGGATCGCAAACGCGGAGTCATCATATCAATCGTACACGTGGATGTGTATAAAGTTGGATTGTACAAATCGCGAAGCATCCCATCCGTGGAAAAACGCAGTTTTTACGACCGCGAGAGAGTAAACACACGACAAAGGCTTTCTAGTTTCAACTAACGGCTCTTACACTCCAAGCATAAATATAATTGTAATTTGTATCATAATATTTTAATGAAAAGAAAAATAGACAAATCGCGCGTGTAACTTATTTTATTCTGCGTAATGTGGACTTTTACGTCGAGTTATACTTGGAAGAACTATGAATATACCATGCAATTTGTATGTCGACCGATTGATAAAGTTAAGCGATAGAGAAGGGAGGAGGACATTATATAAAACAAGGATCGAAAGGACACATCGACTATATGTAGAAATATATCGGACTGGCAGAAGTGTCGAGAAGCCGCTCGCACGCAAACCATGCGACCACGTCCTCATTTTTACGTTTAACGCGATACGTGGGGTGAGATGGACTTATTCGAATGTACGAGGCAACAACACAAGAGAGCCTCGTCGCGTACGCCCCGCGTAAGTCTGACGCGCGTTGGAAAGAGTATTTATTTGGACGTTTAGAGAGTCGCAAGCGAGAATTTTACATTTTAACTTAATCGATCCTGACGACACGAGAACTCTAGTCCTACGGACATGCCCGCGCCAAGGGGAAGTGGAATCGTGCGCTGATAATACGCGTAAGATTCGGAGTAGCGAGCGAATCCTTCCTTTCGAATGTCCACCGTTCACCATTACGAACACACACGAAGGCCAGTGAATACAGTACGGGGAGGAGCGTTAAATGTCGTGTCGAGACACGACACTGCGGTACTTAGGTAATGCGACTTAATTTTTCAAAGAAAGAAACCGTGAGACACTTCGCGCGGAGCACATTCCACAAAATGAAAATGCTTGTTACCCGACCGCCAACATTCCAACGCGTCATTTCAACACGATAATTGGATGATCTTGGACTGTCGTCTTCGTACGTACGTCCGCCTACAATGGCGAACAAAATTTGGAAGAAATCGATCGCATTGTTACCTTCTAGTGTTTCTTTCCTTTTTCTTTCCTCATTTATTTCTTTTTCTTGCGTTTGACATCACGGAGTATCTAATTCCTTTCACCTTTCTCTCTCTCTCTCTCTCTCTCTCTCTCTCTCTCTCTCTCTGCGTCCTCGCAAAAATTCATCTCATTCTACTCTATTCACTACTCTATTCACTTACTCTATTCTCTTTCCTTTTTTTGTCTTTTAAATGTACCTCTTCGATTCATCATTCACCATAGAAACCGCACGGTACGTGCGACAAGACTACTACTTTATCATTTTTTCGCCGTTTCGTTCATTGAGTGCCTAACATTTCTCCCTACATTTGTAAATACTATTATTTTTATGTATTGTGTAACAAAAGGGAGATCGCCAAATGCGCGCCGGTCTCAGTCAACTGGCCAGAACAAGAGCCTAGGAGTAAATTGTTGAAAACATGAATTTGCAAAGTGTTTCTTTTCATATCCCACACCGCCCAAGAATATCCTCGAATCAATATGCAAGAGATAGAAAAATTTCTCGCTGAAGATAAAATGAATCTCTGTAGAGATTCAAGTTCGATGAACGTTTAATTATAAAGCAATTCAGTTTAAGGGTTTCCAAAGCACTCTCTATATGTGTTACAAATTGATCAATAGAGATCTTGTTCTGGAAATTTATATATGCAAAGCAAAATTTTATTGTGTTAGATTTTGTATTTATTTTGGATTTCAATATAGATATACATATTGTTAGGAATGATTAAGAAATGCTGCATATTTCTATAATCTACTTATGCTGCACAACGCATCGTTAATGAAAATAAAACATTTATCTACGCCGCTCTAAATACGAGACACAATTTGCCAAAATCCACAGAAACTATTGTGAGACTAGCAGTTCTCGATAATGATTTCATTATAAATGTATTCTAAATACATCTTTCAAGTTAAAAGTCGCGGCTTCATTCGTAACTATCACGACCGCCGTGATATCCATAATATCTAGGTGGATGATAAAATCTGTTCGTTTTTATTTTCTTACTCCTTTTACTCTTAAAATGAAATAGATCCATATCCAAGCTTGAGATCGACCGAGAGAGAAGTAACGAAGTGCGGAGAAAGTGTAGTTGAAGCTGCCATAGACATGACGCAACCTCGTAAATAACGGTCGCCAGACTAGGAACTTTTGGTAACGTGACGTGGCGACACTACGGTCGACCGTTCCCGCGCAAACAAGTGCCAGCCGGACGCGGTCGCCGCCAAAATATCGGACGTGCATGCGCGTGAGCATCGTGGTTGCGCGGGCCGCGGCTTCATTCGGCTTTCGGCGCTCATAGCTGTCGTGTCGGCGTAGCTGAGATCTCTGCGTGTGTCTTTCTCTCCCACGTACGAAAAATCAAACGCAGTCCTCAGTCAGTGAAACATGTCGGGACGCGGCAAAGGCGGTGAGTAGAAATCAGAGATTGTCCGTTGGCCGCACGTTCATTACTCGTGCCGGCGAGACCGGTCCGCGATGACGCTCGGCGTGTTCTTGCGTTTGCAGGCAAGACCAAGGGAAAGGCGAAGACCCGCAGCAGCAGGGCAGGGCTGCAGTTCCCCGTAGGGAGAATCCATCGTCTCCTGAGGAAAGGCAACTACGCAGAGCGCGTCGGCGCCGGAGCACCGGTCTACCTCGCCGCCGTGATGGAATATTTGGCGGCCGAAGTGCTCGAGTTGGCCGGAAACGCCGCCAGGGATAACAAAAAAACGAGGTCGGTGGCGAGCCCTTTCTTCCTTCCTTCCTTGCTTCCTTCCTTCCTTCCTTCCTTCCTTCCTTCCTTCCTTTCTTCCTTCCTTCCTTCTTTCTTTCTTTTCTTCCTTCCTGCCTTCCTTCCTTCCTTCTCTTGCTTCCTTCCTTTTCGTCGTCTTTGTCCCTCTTTCACGCCGTGTCTCTCTCTATCTTTCTCGTGCTGTATTTATCCAATTTTCCTTCTCACTCGCGCATCGTGATACGGCTTCCTGTTTTCTATCTCGCATTTGCGTCTCGCTCGATTTCTTTCGCACTATCGTCTCGCGTTATATGGAAGGAGGAGATATCTCCATCGTTAACTGATTCACAGGAACAATGTCTCGATTCCTTTCGACAATGTCCCCACGACTGTAACGTTATATCGTTCTGATTTCTTCGTGAAATTTCGATTGTGTCGCATGATTTTAATATTTATCAATCTCTTCACCCTTGAGTAGTGTTTGGGAATTTTCGCTCATATGTACATATACATAGTTATATGTATCGGTATATGTATGTGTATGCGCACGTCTTGACCGTGTTAACGGATTGATTATATAGATTAATGCTGCAATTCTAAGCAGAATCGTAAGTCTCGTAACTTGTTCTCGTAAGATTCGTCAGAACTTTTGAGTAGATTTACAAGTCTATGCAATATATTACTCGTACAATTACTACGATTTCTAAATATCTACGATTTCATGTAATTTACGATATTTACAAGTGCAACATATTGTGCAACATATGATATTGCATAAACTTGTAAATCTACTCAAGTTCTGACGAATTTTACGAGAATAAGTTACGAAACTTACAATTCTGCTTAGAATTACAGCATAAAATTCAATCTCTGGTATACGTATGACAATATCAATAGAAAAAATTAGAATTAAATTTCAATAAGAATATATATGATGGCATATCGTATCTATGAAGATACCACTTGTATATTTCAAGTTCAAAATTTCCTTTAATTCTCTCTCCCTGAATTACTTTAATTTGCAAAAGTTATATATTAATAAAAGAAAATTCTCATAATGCAATAATTGTGGATCTCAAACAATATAACAACTATTGTTTTAATTTATACTTGTTTTTATTTGTATTTTGTTAAATTATATAGAATTATTTAGAATTACATGTAAGGTTTAATATTTAACTTATATGTGTATTCTGTTAAAATTATATAAGTATGTTTCCTTTACAGGATAATTCCACGTCATCTACAGTTGGCCATCCGGAATGACGAGGAGCTCAACAAACTATTGTCTGGAGTGACTATTGCTCAAGGGGGTGTCCTGCCTAATATCCAAGCTGTTCTTTTGCCGAAGAAAACTGGTACTGGTGGATCTGGAAAAGGCGACAAAGCATCCCAAGAATATTAGAATATTATACATTTATAACAAACCGTACTTTAGGAATGTCTTTGTTTCTTGAAACCAGAGAATTGAATATTCCTATAAATCTGCGGCAGGGCCAGATCTACATAGTTGCGGAGGTTTTGATGGATAAAAAACATAATGATCGATAACAAACAATATCACATTATTTAATTATTCTTCATTCTTATTACGTTTTTTATGTCGAGTCTTGATAAGCATGTTTTTTTCGCATTGCTCATTGACAACCTCCTGCATGTGCACTGATTTGTGTGACATTAAGTTCATTTTTATGCCTTCCTGTAAATTGTACCAAGTCCTATACTAGACACTATGAAAAGTATAAATTACTGCCTAAGTAAAATACATGTCATAGTTATCTTAGTTAACCATGTTAGTGTTAAACTGTGCTATTTCTAAATTGCTATATTAATTTAAGAGACTGTGTGATTGTTAAATGAACATCTCCTACTATATTTAAATAGAATATTTTAAGTAGTATTGTTGCTACTATTAATATATTTCCTTTCTCTTTTCATTTCTCACATTTTTCTTTTCTTTTTGTTTAGTATGCACTATATCATTTTAGAATGTTCACAAACTTTTATTACAAATAAATCTTTACAAATGTGTAACAAAATAATCTTAAACTTTTGTTGAATGTAAACAATGTTTAATGTGAAAATAAATGGTAACACATCCCTACTTGAACCTGACATTTGTGTAATTGATTTAAGTATAAGATTTACCAGCAAAGTACTATAACATTTTTCTGCAAAGTTTACGTCGTATTAGTTACGAGAAATGACAAATGCCTTTACACAACAGTAATAAATTATAGTATTGTACGATATGTGACGAAAAAGAAAAAAAATTTGAAATTACCAAATTTCTTTGTCTTTATTGTATTGTCGAGTTAACGCATTAGATTATCAAGATCTAATTTAGTAAATAATATATCTGCAAATCCTATAATTAGGGTCTCTGTTCTCTGGAGTGGAAAGGCTGTAATTTCTGCTGATAAAGATGCATCTTCAGTGCATGCCGCTACTACCTAGATGTTGACCTAAAATACATCAATCACTTACTACCTATTGCATTTTGCAAACGCAATGTTAGTTATATACACTATCAAAAGCATGATAAAAAAGTGATAGCTTCTTGAGTTGGAATTTTCATTGTACATTTTTTGCAAGTTTCATTGAATGTGAAAAGACAATGAAGAACCTCGAGATTTTACATCATATAAGTTATTGTCTTATCTTGCTATTAATATTTATTTACTTTTCTTTATATTGAGGCTAAAAGAATTTAATTAATATTTCTTAAATAAATACTTATTTTAGAATTATCTAATATTTGACAAAATCAGGAATCTTCTGTATAACTGTTTTGGTATTAAATGATATTAAATAATTATAAATGATCTCACATTGACTTCATAATTCTCACAAAAGAATTGTAAAAGTCAGAAACTCCAAATGTATGATCAACGTAGAAAAATTTACTGATATTAGATTTTTTTAAATTGTGTCTTTAGAACTTTTGTATATAGGTGAGAGTGTAATAATTCATTGAAAGTATTATACATTAATTCAAGATGATGATGAGGGGAAACAAATGAACAAAACAAAAAAAGATAATTCTATTTGAGAGAAGAAAAATGAAATAATATAATGAATCTAATAAAAATGAGATGACTTAAAATAATAAATTTTTGGTTAAGGATTCCTATTTACAACCTTAAGTAACAATAATATTAATTTCATAAAAAAGAAAGATTAAAATAACATGAAGCATGTTTTGTTCATTATTCATCATTAATAAGATTTGATTTTCCTGAGTTGAAGGAAAAAAACTTTGAATATACTCAGATAGCACACATCTCCAAGTAATGTCTTGTAGACGTCTTTATGTCCTCAGGACATCTCCAGGACGTCTTTTGAAAGGTCTGTATTATCTGGATATTTCCGAAATCAAATCCTTTTAATTAACACTTTTTTATTAACATTTTGTCACTACCATATTTGAATAATTATTTCATAATTATATCTGTTTGCTACATTTTTTTTTTTAAATATTATGTCTATTTTTTATAATAATAATTTTTTATAATATAAAATATAATTATAAAAAATAGACATAGTGTTTAGACATAATGTTTAGACTCATTGAGTAGTACTACTTGATAAAATGAAGGTACGTCCGACTCATTGCTTAGTCATACTACGACCTCATATTTTTTTTTTTTTT